TATTATCGTCCCTATATGTCGCCTTTGCGTGTCCGCATGTCTCATTTTCAGCTCTATGGCAATAGAGAAATCTATATAGCAGGCGATAGTGGGTCTATATAGCAGTTTTAGCCAATCAGCGAATATATTATTAGCCAATAAGCATCCTCAAATCTAATCCAAAAAGGTTGATTATTTTATCGCCCCTATTGCTATGCAGTTAGATCAAGGCAGCTGGTTTAGTACTCTTTTGGCATCTCCCTGTGATCCCATTTGGTATTGCACGACATGTAGTTATTCATGTAAAAAAGCTCTAAACAAACAACATTTATTGTTACTCCCAGTTTTTACTGTCACGCTTGGGGGGGGGGGGGGTGATTTTGTAATTTTACGCATTTTCTAAGCATTAACCTATAGTTCAAAAGGTTATGTTAATAAGCAAATTCAATCATGCATGTCTAAACTTGTATACTAGAAATGTACCACAGTGCATCCTGAATAACATAGCACTTCCTACTGCTTGCATTTGGATCCGACCTCTGCTCTTCCTTGCACTGACGAGTAACAGAACGACTAACCATCATGGATCCAGCAGCAGTGGAGATTATGCGCCACCGACAGGGAGATCGGCCCATAGAGGAATATGTTGTGGACTTTGTTAAGCTGGTACATCTGACTAAGATGGGGAAAATCCCCCTCATGATATTTTTTCGGGGTGGGCTGTCCGAACCACTCAGCTCGCGCATGCCGCTGCACGACCCTAGTTGGACTCTGGAGTATTATATCTATGTAGCATTGCAGCTGAGCGGAACGACATTCACTGTGGCAGTCGCGGAGGAAGATCCCAACATGGCCGCCGTTCCAGAGTCTTGTCCCGTCACGGCTATTGAGGCCGTATATGTGAACTCTCTGCCTGTCCCGTCACGACTATGGAGGCCGTATGTGAACTCTCTGCCTGTCCCGTCACGGCTATTGAGGCCGTCTGTGATCTCTCTGCCTGTCCTGTCACGGCTATGGAGGCCGTATGTGAACTCTCTGCCTGTCC